AGACAGGCACTTGCTCCAGTATGCCACTACACGTTCTTGGCCGTCTATTTCTTGGGACAAAACAGCACCAACACTTTCATTACTCGCGTCGGTGTCGAGAATAAATGGTCGGTCAAGCTGAGGATACGTCAGGATTGGAGCAGATGTTAAAGCCTCCTTTAAGTTGTTAAATGCATCCTCGCATTCTTTTGTCCACAAGAACTTTTGGTTGCTCTCTGTCAGCTTGTGTAGGGGTCTTGCGATGGAAGAAAAGTCCTTCACGAATTTCCTATAGTAGGTGCAAAGCCCTAGGAAGCTTCTCAGCTGATGGACATTTTCGGGACGTTTCCAGGATTTAACGGCTGATACCTTTTCAGGATCCGTGCGCACACCTTCTGCAGAGATGACATGTCCCAGGTAAGTCACTTCCTTTCGGAACAATTTGCATTTAGCGGGACTCAGCTTCAGATTGGCTTCTTTCAGTTTCTGAAGCACCTTCCTAAGATTTTCTAAATGTTCTTCAAAACTCTTTCCGACGATGATGATGTCGTCCAGGTATATGAGGCAGGCTTCGTAGGAAAGGCCTTTCAAAACAGTTTCCATAAGACGTTCGAATGTTGCCGGCGCATTACACAGTCCAAACGGCATCACCTTGAATTGCCAAAGCCCTTGTCCCGTAGTAAATGCCGTCTTTTCTCGGTCTTCAGGCTGTATTTCTACCTGCCAATACCCACTCTTTAAATCAAGTGTTGAGAACCACTTGCTTCCAGAAAGAGTGTCTAGAATGTCGTCAATTCTAGGAAGAGGGTAACTGTCTTTCTTCGTAACCTCATTCAACCGGCGATAGTCGACGCAAAATCTTGTTGAGCCGTCTTTCTTTCTGACTAGGACGATGGGAGATGCCCATGGACTTACTGAAGGCTCGATGACATCGCTTTCTTCCATATCTTTTAACAGTGTTCGCACCTCTTCCTGTTTAGCAAACGGTAGACGTCTTGGATGTTGCTTGATCGGGGGATGATCGCCGGTATCTATTCTATGTTGTGTCAAACTAGTTCGACCCACGTCAGAAGACGAGCGGGAGAAAACAACTTGAAGATCTTTAATGACGCGATCGGCAGCATTCCTCTCTTTATCGTTTAATTGCGCATTCTGCAATAACTCCGATGTAATTCTCTCTGAGGACACGGATTCTTGGATGTTACTCTTTCTTTCAACGGTGGTTACTGGAGTACATGCTGCAACCACTTCACCTTTCTTAATAATTCCCCCCTTCTCAGTTACATTGGCGACTCTCACCGGGATAACCGTTCTGGATAGGTCGACGAGTGTTGAGGCTACTAGTACTCCTTTTGGGCTATTACAGTTATTGGGATATTCTATGATGCCGTAGCGGAAATTTCTGTTTTCGGCTATGGATCCAGGAAGTAAAATTTTTGTTCTTGCCGGTATTGTGATATTGTCTTGTGCTATGATTTTATGGACAGATTTAACTTCATCATCATTGACTCCAAATAACGCTATGTCCTCAGATGTAGAATGCAATTCGTTATTTTTAAAGTCCAAGGAAAAATTGTATTTCCTTAGAAAGTCCAATCCGAGTATGCAAGAATCAGTGATCTCTGCTACATATGCCGTGTGATGGTAAGCGGCACTTCCAAACGTGATGTTAGCATTTACTTTTCCATCGATGTTGATCTTCTCACCGGACACAGTCTGTAGGGTAACGCAGGGCGGCGTCCAGATAAGTTTGCTTCCCAGTTGTTGAGCCAAATCTTTTCGGATGATGGTAACGTTGGCTCCTGTATCTATCGTCATATTGCAGGGAACTCCATTAATATGTCCTATTATGAAAAGTCCATTACTGCCGCCTCTCACTGCAGAAATCTGAAGCGCTTTAAACTGGGGCTTTTCATGATCTGGCAACCTCCGCCCCGCGAGATGATGGCCACTAATTAGTTTCCCTGCTGTTTGTTAGGAGCGGTCTTAGCATCCGTGCCCTGGGGTGTTCTGCAGTTTCGTCGTATGTGTCCTTCAGCACCGCAGTTCCAGCACTTTACGGTCGGTTTCTTGTCACCAATATTCTGTCTCAAGGCGTTCAGTTGTCTAGTTAAATCGTCTAGACGAGCAGTGACTTGATCCCCTGGCTCCTGGACTTGAGCAGCTCTGACTGGATGGCGGTCTCGACGGGTGGCTTGCTGGGCTGCCTCAAATTTCATGGCATACACTAAAGCGCTTTTCAGATCTTTAACATCCGCCATTCGCAGTGCTTTCTGTATTTCAGGGTCCCGGATGCCATCGATGAAATATTGCAGGGACAGGATTTCCCTTGTTTCTGTCGGGCACTCCGAAAAGGCGTGATGTGACAGCCTTTCAACATCCGTGGCGAGCTCCTGAAGCGTTTCGGTGAGCTTCTGTTGACGAGATTTTAATTGGAGCCTGCTGTAGTCTTTTAAACATTTCTCGCCGAAGCGCAGCTCCAAAGCGCCGGATAGAGCTTCGAAATCTAGCCTTTGATTTTCGGGAAGCGTCTGCAGGATATCCGCTGCGTCTGCTCTCAGAGAAGCGGCGAGATGACAGGCCTTAGCTTGGGAATCCCATCCATTCGCATCCGCAACGATAGAAAATTGTGTCCTATACACCTGCCAGGAGGTCTTCCCATCATATGTAGATAGTTTCAGAACGGAACGAGCAGGCATCGATAAAAATTTGAAACCTTCAGAATTGTTTCCTACCGTCGCTATGCACTTCTTTAGGCTGTCAACTTCTTTGGCGACGGCAGCAGAAACCCTATCATCAATTTGTTGTTCGACGGCAGAAACTCTTTTTCTTCAATTTGTTGTTGGAAGGCCGAAACTCTTCCTTCGACTCGTTGCTCCACAGCCGACACTCTATCTTCTATTTCATCTTTGACAGAAGAAACCTTTTCTTCTTCAATTTGCCCGACTTTATTTTCGACAGCTCCTATTCTGTCCTTCCATAGCCTCAAATTTACTTTTCTATTACGCAGGTTAATTTCTCTTTTCATTTCGTCTTGACCTGCTTCAATCTTTTCTTGTACAGCTTTTATGTCTTCTTTAAAAGTTACTTGACCAGCTTCCAACTTTTCGTGAACGGCTTCCATTTCCTTTTTAACGGATCTCATCTCTCCTTTAACGGATTCTTGGCCCAATTTCATTTCTTTCTTCCTTTAAATGCAGGCAAAGGCTGATATCAGCTGCCTTAACTGCTTCTTCCATCGCTCTTGTTATTGGCATTCAAATCCCACTTCTGACACCAAAAATTGTTGCGTGCGTACGGGTTCGTTATGAAATGAATGCACAAGTCCGATGAAAAATGAACAAAAATTTATTATTATCACAACAAAAATGCTTAAATTTTCTCAAATTATCATGCAGTATTACAATATCTCACAGTAGTTATCTTTTAACTACTCAAATGTCCAATAGAACGTAATTCAAAACAGCTAAAGAACGCTAATCCGCGAATTCGCTACAATCAACAAGAGCAGTTTTCTAAACAACAACAAACTAAGCAACTACTACAAACTGAGATGTTTTCCTCCTTTTATAAGATTTTAAAATCACGCGCTAGAATTTTCCAGTACTTTCTCGAAATCAAAAAGAGATATTTATTTATTTAATGCACGCGCTCTTGTATTTTCAATTTTCCGGCTTAGCTTTCTTTTAATATTCGTCACGCGCTGCACTGCGCGAGAAATAAAACCATTTAATTTATAATTAAACTAACATTAGCTTTTTAAATACCAAATTCGTAACAATATGTTTTTTTTTTTTTTTTTTTTTTTTTTTTTTTTTATGATAATTATTTTAGGCGGTTGGCAGTGCAAGCGGCTGTTTTTTAAAGAAATAATAGAGCGAATATAAAAATATTTATGGCAGCCTCCACTCTATTGGTAATTCTAAAGTTATGCTGTTTTTAAATATTTAGTGATTTTATTGTTGAATTGAATTTTATGTAGCGTAAGAGCGAAGAAACTGATATTTAATAAAAAAATAAAGTTTACAGGTAATAATAAAATGATAAAAAATTTTGTTAGCCATCTTAATAAAAAAAATTGAACATTAATATGATAAACTGAGAAAAGACCGAAAAAAATTAGAAAAATGTTATGCCAACACGTAACTATGCATCTGGAATTCTAAACAATGCTACTATGCAGTTTTTAATAATTTTGTGATGAACTGCATGTGAGGTAAGTGCGAAGAAAACTTATTATTAAAGCATCGTAATAATAAATTAAATTATTTCTTAGCTTTTAAAGGGCGACTGGGGTTTTAGGGGACCCACTCGCCAAATCCTGGGTGTGGAGAATCATCATCCAACACTCTTTTAGTTCGGGCGCCATTGTAGAGACATTAGGTATTTTTTGGAAGCAGAAAGATGAAAAATAACAAACGCCTTCGCCGGGATACGAACCGCGGACATCTGGAATACGCACCCAGCGTGCAGACCACCACACCACGAAGGCATGCCAAGAAGGCGGGAGAAATACCTTATAAACTGACATCAGTCATTCATGAACACACCAGAAAATAATGCTCAGCAAGACTTAAATATGACGCAGTGTGCTATGACGCAGCTATGACGAAGCTATGACGCAGTGTGACGAAATTTCCAGTAGACTTGGCGTTAAAATTAACCTCAGACTTTTAAACTGCACCGCATGCCATTATTCGTTTGGTCTGAGCATATTTTGCGGCACGAGCCAAGAAAGATAGGTCAGTTTTTAACTAAAAACTAACCATTATTAAAATTTTAAAATAGTTATCATAAACTATATATTTAGGCATTTTAAAGCAGATTCTGAACTTTCCGATAACTCAGTTTTAAAATGCAAACTATTTACTTCTGGACTTTTATTATTACAATTAATATTACTATTATCGAATTTAATTTTAACTAAAGGTTAAATAATGTTAACTCTTTTTTTTTTTTTTTTTTTTTTTTTTTTTTTTACCCTGCTGTCTGTGACCTGTCATTACAAATTATGCTTCTAGGCCTCCCAAGAAAAGATTTATCGACCCAAATGGACCTCAGTCTTGGATGGCAGCCTTCGCCAATTTCTTCATCAACTTCATCATCATTGGATTCGGGAGGATGTCGGGAATATTTTACGTGGTCTTCATGGATACTTTTCATGTTGGGAGGCAAGTGGCTTCCGTACCATTCAGCGTTCAGCAATCAGCAAGCAATCTTTTTGGTAAGACTGTTTAAATAAATGATCTACGCTACTCTAAAAACAAGGCAACGTAAGTTAGTTGATAGCAAAGTTTATAAATTACCATTTTGAAATTATTTAAATAAAAATACAGATGGCATAGTAACAGTTAATAAACTTCCCTGTAATATAGAAGCATTCCAGAATGTGGAAAATTGAATTTCTAATAAATTTCAAAATCTGTGCTGTTTTCTGAAAGTTCAAAAATGAACAGTCAAACGAAAAAGGGAGGAGGGAAAATAAACTTAAAAGCCTCTTGTTGAAACTGCTTAAATTTATATGAATTATACAAGTCTGTAAAATTCAAATCACTGAAAATTATTTTTTTGATATTGAAACTTAATTTTTAGTTTTTTGAGGTACTGAATCTGAATAGTACCTTAGTCCCTCCGAACGTGTACAATTTATTACAATTTGTATTAACTCTTTCTCGACTAGGATATTCATATAGATAGGCTGCTGATCCAATTAATAGGAAACCAATCGAATAAACGATTTTAGTGTAAATTGCTGTATATGTTGTGTCCATAAACCGCCATCGGTTTTTACTTTTGAAGCTGTTGGGCATAAATATATACAGAAATGTTTTTAAAACATGTTACATGACATAAATATTTGCAATAAGATATTTTTCTATTTTAAAAGTAAATTTCATCAAAATTACAAAATTTTATTTTTTTAACAATCATTTCGTCCTTATAGTCATATTTATTGAAATTTACACTCATTTAAAAATTAAAACATAGACGGTGGCAATTTCGTACCACAGAAACTAACAGGGGCATTTAATTTCAAACTTTTTAATTTTTGCTAGCTTTTTTGATTTTCTTTGAGGGATCAGTTAAAAAATTAATTTGAATAATTTGAATTTGATTTTTTTCTCCTTTAATGCTTTTCCTCTGTGATTATTCGCGTGTACTCTATTTTTATTTATCAATTTGTTATATTTTGTATGCTAAAAACATTTTTACACAGGTAATTTATAAGATTTTAAATATTAAAAATACATTAATATTCAGATGCCGTTTTATTACTTTAGGATCACAGTATAAAGATATTGACTTAAAGTGATGCAAAAATGTTCATTGGAAGAGAAATATTTTTCATTTTTGAATCATGCAAATTATTGCGGATTGGCTATATGCCAGTTCTTTACTGCGACGTTTTTTTAAAATAGAAATTTTATTCTGTAAATGAGATTTCCTTGCTGGAAAATTTACATTGACCACTCCCTCGCACAAGACAGCGCAGACAGGTCTAGCGCTGGCAATTTTGATGCCAGGCACAATCTCGTTGGATCCTATATTCTGCTGCTTTGCAACTCCCTAAATTCAAAACGATTTACCATCTGCTGTCTAAAAAATTTATCATCCCTAAATTTTGTTATTCATTACTTCTCTAAATTCTAAAAATTTGCCTTTTCTAAATTATGCCGCTCGGTGCGACCGCACAGGTTTAACCCTCTCTGAAGCTGTCGCTGTTTCTGCATAACAGAGTGCAAGTTCTCTTCAGTAACAACTTTAAAGTTAGACGATATTAATATCTGCATTACCTTCATCTAGAGGGAGCCTGAACCCAACACCTTTGCTCCAATAGTAGGGAAAGGTACCACTGTAGAAGCGGATACACCGTATTCTGAGTAGATATCATCTTAGATTTCCACACATCAATTCATTTGTTAGACAGAGTGACTGCTCAGAGTTTAGTTGCATATGCTGCTTTTCAAGGACACCTTGCCCTTGAAAAGCTGCTTAGTTTGGAAGCAGCTTGGAAAGCTTCTGTGCTTTATACCGTCGAAACGCTACTATGCTTTATGCTCTTAAAAATTTTTTATGCTTGAAAAAATTAAAGGTGGAAGTCATTCACAGAAAACAAATGAAGGTGAAATTTGTAAAATTCCTATCGAATGTTATTGTTTCCAAAAGCTCTCAAAATGTTTGTAATGAAAAATTACAACAGTTTATTACTAGGCCTTAAGAACAACCCACTTGCAACTCATTTGGGTGATAAATTGATATTTCTAACTTAACATAGTTGTCAATTTAGTTAATATAGGCGTATGAATGATGTATGCGTGAAGAAGTATTGTTTTGTAGTCTTTTGGGGCCGTGGAAAAGAAGACATTTTTTTTTTTTTTTAATAAATTTTTCTTAAGTGATGAATTTTCCATTAATGGGGGTTTACATTATAGAAGATAGCTCTGTGGCAATGGCATCCGAGAATATAGAATTTGTATAAAAAAGCTAAAGCTGATGGAAATGAATATTTTCGTTTTACTCACTGTGTGATACATCGAGAATCACTCACATCCAATAAAGTATTAGCAGATTCAAATGCTGTGCTTTGTGATGCTGCTCAAATAATTAATTTCATAAAAAGCCTAGCTTTTAACAGCCGTCTGTTTTCAAACCATTTCAAAAATATGAATTCCGATACCTGAACTTTATTCCGAAATGAAGACATATGGTGAATCTCAAGAGTACTAATAGTTTATATAGATTATTACACTTGAACATTCAAGTCAAAATGAATTATGACTTTTCAAACCCATATTATATGGCAGATATTTTTGAAACATTGAAATATCTCCCTTCAAGGAAATAATTGTAAGATATTTACATAAAAATCTAAAATCGAATGTTATTAAATATATATGTTTATGGACAACAGAGAAGGAGATGGATTTTTAGTAATGTTTTAGTATATATTATATGAGCTATATAATATATAGCTTACAAATTATTACAAATGTTTTTTTAATTGAAAATAGCATTTCCAAAGATATAATACTGGAAGCTATAACTGGAATGTCTGGGAGCTGCAAATGCAGAAACGCTTTCTTTCAAATTTTTATGTTGGAAATGAAAACTGCTTCATGAACTACATTTCATTGAAATTAATAATGTCAATTCTTTACTCTTAAATGATCAAAAGGAATTTACCGACTAGTCGAGCGATACAGATTTTAACTTGAGTTTCTCAAAAAATCATTAAATGAATTGGCTGAGGATTAGAACATAAATTCGAATATTTTCCGAAATGGCCGCACGTCTAACATTTTGTTCTATGTACTAAGGCTAAGCGGCGCCTTCAGCGCTATCATTTGTAAAATAAATAATCAGTCAATTCTACAAAATATGGAAGAAGCTCTACATTCTGCAGTAGAAAATATTAATCCAAGATTTAAATCTTTAAGTAAAAATGAACCCAGTCATTTTTATTAGCATGAATATTTAGTTTTGTCCTTGATATATGCCAAAATTATACTCATACAGTGCTGTCCATTAAAATTGCAACATCATGAAGGAAAGCAAATGCAAAAAAGATATTTATTGCACCTAAACAGTATGACATGAAGACTAAATGATTAAATTTGGAAGCATTTTGGAGGTTTACAGGAGTGCGAAAACAGCTGCCACTACTGGCAGCTAAAACAGCCCTTAACTTATTAGGCATGGAGTCAAACTGGGCTTGGATGACAGAAATAACAACTCCATGTTGCTTCAAGTCTATACCACACTTCATCAAACCTATTAGCTGGAGAGGGGTGGAGGGCCGGTCTTTCAGCAACCCATGACCATATGTCTTCAATGGGTGACAGATCTCGAGACCGTGCAGGCCTGGACAGCAATTGAACACCCTGTGTATCGAGGAAGGTCAGAACACGACGTGCAACATGTGGTCTTGCATTATCTTGCTGAATGGCGTTTATGGGCCTCGAAGATTGGGCACAACCACTGGATGTAAGACGTCAGAAATGTACCCATCTGCGTTCAAATTACCGTCGATTCGAACTAGAGGTGTGAGTGTCGTGTACCCATAACTGCCCAAACCATCACACCAGGGGCAGGGCCCCTGTGCAGATATTGAATGAAAGCAGGCGACGTGCGGTCTCCTCGGACACTCCAGACACATATACGGCCATCAGAATACTGCACGTAGAACTGGGACTGGTTTTAAAAGGTGACATTGTGCCACTCCTGTACTTTCGATAGGCAACGATCCTGCCTCTATCAAATTTCAAAACCTGCTAGTAAGCATTTCCTCTTTTTATTCGAGGCATAACACGATATTCTGAGCAAACTCTAACCTTACAAAGCCCTTTCCGGATGAAAAATCCACTACACAACTTTTCTTTTATTCGCCACCCAATCAGTATAGTGGTCAGGGAAGCTGACTGCGATGCCGAAGGGCCTGGGTTCGAATCCCGGAGAAAGTATGGTTGTAACTGTCCGTCCCCTCATAGGAAAGCCGATGGTGCCTCCATAATAAAGAGACCACCACATCCGGCTTGTATAGATTAATGGACTGGGTTACATTTGTAATTGTTCACAATCTGCCATTTGAAAAAAAAAAAAAAAAAAAAAAAAAAAAAAAAAACTAAAAAACTTTTCTTTTATGCAATGTTTTAGATGTCGTTTCTCCCTCCTGCTTCGTCTAAATGTGCTGAAATACTAATCCCATTTGCATATCCCAACTTCTTCTTCCTTTCATGTGATTTTGACGTTCGTCAGATCATTCCTTCCTGGTGTTGCAATTTTAATGGCCAGCAGTTTATATACCAAAGAGTTATTTTCAAATAAATTGTCTTTATGATTTATTATCAAAAAATTTTTAATCTGAATCCTTAGTTTATACTTTATACGCAGGGTCGTCAAAATATTTTCTTGATAAGAAGAGTCATTAAGTAAAACAGTTCGAGAAACTGTGCTCTTGGCGGAAAATCCTGTATTTTGACCAGAAAATTATCGTTATATTTTAATTATTATTTATTGCAAAATTTACAGAAGTCTTGACCTTTTCCTTTAGTTTTCATAGAACTAAAAGTAACAGCATAAAAGAAAGCTTATATTAAGTAACGGCATTTTAACAGCACAATTTTTTTTCAATTACGTTGCAGGACCTCTTGCTGCAATTTTGGGCCAGAAATATAACATTAGATCTGTGGTCTTAGCTGGTGGCCTTATTGGAAGTATAAGTGCTGTCTCTTGCTTTTACAAGACCGATATTACTTGGATTACCATCAGCTGGGGATTAGTATTCGGTAAGTAAACATTTCGAGCATAATCAATATACTGTTATATTCATATCGTTACAAAAAATCATCCGTGTATGTTACTAAATTCAACTTTTACAGGCTTCGCTTGCTGAAACATTTAAAAAACTAAGGTTCCATTTTTAAAAATACAGTTCCTGTTAATTTGTGAATGCAATGTTATTAAAGAGAATTTATAATACTAAATGGGGCTACAAATGTATAGGATTAATTAAGATTGAAAATTTAAGAAAACAGAATTCTTAATTCTTAGTTTAAATATACAAATCTTACATAAGTCCATAAAACGCTTTCTTGCCATACAGCTGCGAGATTAGCATAGAACTCCTTTTTGAAATACTGTTACCGTGTTGTGAATCTCTTTAGTATTATCAAAATAAAAACAATTGAAGATTATAATTGTTTTCCTAATCTCTTCTGTGCTGTTAAGGTAATAGCACTGAATCTGTTATAAGAGCAGATTTTCACTGAATTAAAGCAAGTTATTCACTGCGTAGAAAGTTCTGTTTATCCGAATGAAAGTCATAAGTGTTTTGCTTGAACATGCCATGATTAGAACAGACATAGCTTATTACTAATACACAACTCAAACTATTCTTTGGGACTTTGACTTACTCGGTACTGCATGCATCTCTCAGTTCATTCCCATGCCTTGGAATGAACTGTGTGTATAAAATGTGCAGGTGATGACAGAATGTTTGAAACCTCACAGGTATATTATTATGTTTAATGAATTTTTGGTTGCAAATACCGCTAGCAATCACCCTCTCCTTTTTACACTATATTCTGGAGATTATAGGCAATTAAGAAATGCCACACGCCCCACTATTTTATTTTTTGTTCATATCTGAAAACTTCGGGGTGATTATTGTCTGGAGGTCTGATACCTTTCCTTAATTTAATATGATTGGTTCCTGTAAGGAGCAAATGAATTTGAGTTACTTGTATATTGTGTTGTAATAAGTGACAGTCATTCACAATATTTTAGTTAAATACTCTTTTGTTATGTTTTTTCAAAACATTTAGTTTTAAATACCTTGGCATTAACTAGCCCAGGCAAATTAATTAAGCTGAAAGCTTTATAGCTAAATCTTTATGATAAAAAAAAAAAAAAATCACGGGAAAATTACTTTGGGAGATGCAATAACTTTACTGAAACAATACAATCAGTTTATTGTAATACCAGATTATATAATAATTTTATTGAAATATGAACAGAAACAAATAAAAAGTAAAATTTTAAACACTGTGATTTCTTAATTATGAATTTTTAAATGGGTTTTCCTATATCATGCCAGCATAATTTTGTCGTAAACATCTATATCAATGTTTTGAGCATTTATATGTCACTCATGTGCTGCTGGGCATTTTTATTTCCAGGTATCAGTACTGCACTGACTACTCACGCGAATCAAGTATTCACAGATCTACATTTCAAAAAACACCAAACTACAGCTGTTGGACTTGCCTATTCTGGAGGATGCGTAGGAGCATTTTTCTTTCCAGTTCTTATTGAAATGCTTATCAAATTTTATAACTTGCCTGGTACTTTTCTCATCATTGGTGCTATTATTCTGAATGTCATACCAGCTTCAATTTTGCTCAAAGAACCTACTTGGATGTCGAAACATATATTAAAGCAAAAAAGTTCAAAACAATCTGCTAAAAGGAAAAAATCTAAAGCTCATAGTGATGAAAATAAAAACCCTGGTATCAATGCTCTGACTAATCCACAATCTAAATCTTTTACTGTGAAAGTATCAGAAAATAATTATTTCGATTTTGAACATTTACGAAAAAACTCTGGTTTTGTATACCAACTTCTAGAGCTTTTCAATACTTCTTATGAAATGATGGAACATCAAATTTTAACATCCAAGCAACTTTCGCTCATTAAAGAATTGATCGATATTTGCCAAGCTGGTCAACAGCAAGGTAAAACGCAATTTTTTCAGCCTGAAATTATGTTAAGTTCACCACATCCTGAAGAAAACTTGGTATGGGATTCTTTTCAGGAAAATAAAACAGTAAACTTCGATGAATACCACAGATTAAAAATCTTTTCTAAACTACGCAGGTTATACGAGAAAAGTGAGAGTGAAATACTATCACATTTTAACATCCATAATCATGGTCATGTATTGAAAGTTGTACATGCACTTAGAAATCTATATGAACTGCTTCAAGAAGGCAGAAGAGCAAAAAAGAAAATAGTTAAATTTGCTGATGCTATGAAAGAGAAAGAAACCCTTTCTATTACAAATGTCACAAAAAAAAGTGAAGAATATAATAATGCATTCAGAAACAATATTAAAACAGCAATAAAACTACATAGCAAACCATTATTTCTACTGATATGTCTGTGTAGAGGAGTGTTCACATTGACTTTCATTCCTTTCGTTACTATCATTGTTGACTTTGCAATGGACAAGGGTATGAAAAGAGAAGAAGCCAAGTATGTTATTGCTATCTTATCCTTGGGAGATCTAATAGGAAGGTTATGCTTAGGATGGGTCACTGAGAGTAGCTACCTAAGCTTGCCACGGTACATGCTTGTGGTTATGCTACTACTCAGTATTAGCATGTCTACTTTCCCATTAATGTCCTCAGCTCTTGCAATCATCCCAGGTATTCTAGTGTTCGGCATGCTGCAAGGTTCGTTGTTTATTCGGCATCAAAGTTTAGTTACCATGTACATGGAGAATCAGGAGCAATCTATTGGTTTGGGTTTCATAAATTTGTTCTCTGGCTTTTTAGGATTAGCACTGCCGGCATATATAGGTAAGTAATGTAAAAGTTACACATATTATTTTCTTAGAAATATTGCTTTATAGTACTTTAAATAATTTGCATGTTTATTTTATAATTGCTTCTTTTGTCAGCTTTAAAGAAAGTAGTATACTAAGAGCTGTAAAGTGGCAGAATGTTTACAAGTTTAGCAAATTGTAACAAAATAGTATAAAATCTTTTATTCCAAATTGAATTAATTCTTTGCAAAAGAATATAAATATGCTTTAACTATTTAGTTTCAGGGAAAATTTGTAAGAACTGTAATGCCTATTTGGTCAATTATTTCAAATAATTAAAAATTGATTCCAATATTTTTCATTGGAGTATTGAAACATACTAATTCATTGCTTTCTTGAGAAAGCTCGAAATAATATTTTGTATTTTTTTACAAGGACATTTAAACTAACACGAGATGTGATTATGCTACCTTTCATAGAAATCTGAGGAAGTTTTTCTTCATAATAAATTTTAAATGCTTTTTTAATCACTAGCATATGATTCTTTAGTTTGCGTAGCATATATGTAGACCAATTCCCTTAAAAACTACATTAATCACCTTATGCAAACAGTAGCTGAGAAATACTAGTAGTTCAACCCAAGTTCAGATCCAGGCAAACGGGCTGTATAGGTGTTCATAATTCATCATCTATATAGGTGTTCATAATTCTTCCCATATAGGAAAGTGGATGCTTCCCTATTTCCACGGTTCTTCCGTGAAGGCATCCTTTTCTTTAGGCAGATATCTCTCATGTAATATTAACTAAAGTAACATGCCAAAGAATGAATGCTGGAAATATCGAAGAAGCAAAAATCAACATAAGTTGGCAAGCATAACATGTGGAAAAAGTATCAGAGAACAGCTTTTAGAAGCTAATCCAATATTACTAACAAAAGAAACATTCCAACCAGCAAATATTGAAGATACCAAAGCAACATCTCTCATGTACTTTTCCTTAATCACTTGACATAATGTATCCCTAAGCAGATGATTCTAATATGATTTCCTGTAATTCAATATTTCTCAAATACTTGACTCAAATACATGTTGAGGCTACTTTTATAAATTATAATGTCCTGCAAACCACTTTATCATCTCCTTCCAAAGCAATGTTTTTACAATATGTTACTAAAAGTATACAGTGGAAACTTGAGATATGAGTTTAATTTGTTCTAGCATTGAGCTCGTATAATGAATTTCTTGTATCTAGAAACAAACTTTTCCACTGAAAATAATGGAAATCCAGTTAATCCGTTCTGCACCCCCCCCCAAAATATCAACATAAAAATCAATTTTTATAATAACACTGGTAAATAATATAACCATAGTTTACCTTTATGATAGCTTCCGACACTAACTGCTTCTCGTTAATTCACACCAACAACAGCTTCTCAGCATCTTCTATGAGTTTTGGACAGTGCTTGGAAGTAACGGTAACTCCTTTGGTTACATCAAGTTTCTTAATTTCTTTCTGTTTCTTCAGAAAATGAAAATCATCGATGTTAAAGTCTTCGCCAATTCTATCACTCTTACACCACTCTTGTTTATCTATGATTTCTTCCTTAATTTCAACAGCCATGGCTTTCTTTTTTTTCTTTGCAGCACTACTTCTTTGGCTATATCAAGTTTCTAATGATTTCTTCCTTAATTTCAACAGCAGTGGCTTTCCTTATTTTTTTTGCAGCACTACTTCTTTGGCTACATCAAGTTTCTTAATTTCTTCCTGCTTCTTCAGAATAGTGCAAATCGTTGATATTGAAAGGCTGTATAAGTCTTCGCCAATTCCCTCACTCTTAGACCATGCTTGTTTATCTAAGATTTCTTTCTTAATTTCAACGACCATGGCTTTCTTGTTTTCCTTAACAGCACTATCTGAGGCAACAATCTTCTTGGGAGGCACTGTAAAATAATTATTTTCATGTTAAATGTAATAAACAATTGATTCCCAAGCGCACAAACATGTAGATCAAAGAACACCGAGTGATCTGACAAGGGGATTCCCCAAGTCAAGCCGGATCGGAAAATGACGCCACGCATACCAACAGCCTGGCTTATTGCTCATTACTCGAGTTAATGCTCATATTTAGAGATGAATTTTTCTCTCATACTTTCCTCGTAGATAGAGGTGCTCGTATCTCCAGGTTCCACTGTATTTATATTTTTAAAATACAATTAATTAAAATTCATTTAATTTTGTATAAATGCTGTAAGAATACAAGTAGAATCCTACCATTCCAAATCTGGCCCTACAGAGTGTTAATGCTGTCAAACGTATGGTCACATACGAGCAGGATGTTAGTACAAGCCTACTTGTGTGTAATGCTCACACAATAAGGCTTATGACTGTAATTTAAAAATAAATCTTATTATATGCTTTGCTATTAGGCACTACAAAAAAAATGATGAATGCCTTATATGGGGCTTTTTAAAGGAAACTGGCTCGCATCCACATTACATATGAGAGGGAAGAACGAAAAGCCCATGTAGGTAGTCCATTTGCTGAGACCTGAACCAAACTATCAGTTTCAGCGGCTTTTACCACTCAGCCGCTAGTGGCCCATTGAGTCAGAATTAGAGCAACAGTTTTATTAAGATCTTACTGCAGCAGAGGTTAGCAAAATGTGAAAACATGATTGTGTAATGTTGGAAGCTGTAGGAACATTTACCAGAAAAATTACAGTTATTAATTCAAAACCCAGGCCTAAACTCTATGTGTGGCTCAGGAGAAGGAGGGAAGAATTCTGACATCTAATTTTTAACAATAATAGCAAGGTATTTTCACTAATTTCTACATTGCATTCTTCCTTCCTAAAATATGATTTTTTAATTACTTAAAGAAACTTCAGCATGAAACATGAATAATAGTTCCTACGAAAAAGGTGGTTTTCCCCCAACACCACAGTGCTGAGAAGTGATTTGAATATTTTGAGAGTTGTATAATAACATTTGAATTGTTTATACAAAAAGACTCAAAACTTTTTCTTTTTAGGTTATTTTAGAGATACTCATGGATCATATGACAACATGTTCTATGTGAATAGCTGCATCTGTGCAATGAGTGGATTACTATGGATTTTGGAACCCTTTTTTATACACTTTTCCCCAAAGCATTCAAAGTACGATAAACTAGAGAAACAGCTAAATCGGTGATGGAATTTTTAATTTAAATTTAGAAGTTTCTTTCCCTTTTTAAGTAAATTCCTGAAATTCTAATTCAATTATGATTTAAAAAACAAAAGAAGAAGAAAGAAAAAGACCAATGTTAAGCAAGCTGGAGAAAAAAATAGCTGTTTTTCCTTCTAAGAGGAAATAAAAAATTAATTAATTTAATGTACATTTATATTTATCACTCAAATTTTATGAAAGAAGCATGAACAAGAAGTAGCAAATGTATCATGTTTCATCCTATGGTTTCACTGAAACAATATCACAAGTTAAATTTAAAAAATATTAATAAAAATGATAAAGACATTTTTGAAACAATTTTTTTAAATTTTGAAAGTCCTCATAATAGTCTTTTAAAAAAAAATACTAATATTCAGTTACAGAAATGCAGCTCAACATCGCAAGAAAAATCTAATGTGGATTCTTATCAATATGAAATGACACTTCTCTTCTTAACAAATGTAAAGTTGAAAACAAAATTTGCAACATGTTGCCTATTAATTTCAAGCAAAATGGGTAACACTGATGTTCCCACAAAGAGACCTTCTAGCTGTTTGTAAGTTTCAACAGCTGAAAAACTAAAATTTCTGCAAACCATTAATAAAACATATAATGAGATAACATAGTTTTCATGATTTTTTTTTTCATGACATAGTTTTAATTAATTTATCAGATATTGCACTAACTGTATTAAGCAGAAATTTTGCAGTATTTATATTTATCATCTTTATAAATACATTTGTGAATTTAAAATAGCTACATTATCAGTATTCTAACTTATTAAAAACTGAAATATTGGGAGAAACCTTAAAACTTTTATTTATACATTTTAAATAAAATAAAAGTCTTTTTAAAATGCATATTATGATAAACTTCAATTCAAAAAAATACAAATTCAATTCATACAAATTTACATTCAAACATTAAAATACATTTAAATCTTGTGATAAAGATCAGAATTAAAATTCCTTGATATTTAGAATTAGTTAATAATCAGTTTCTAAAATTGGAGAACCCATTGCTCCGAAACCTGCTGCAATACCACCTTCATTTAGTTCAACTTTTTTAGTACGTAAAAGATGACCAGCAGAAATATTTAAGGACACATTGTCTTCATTTCTGAGAAAGAAATAAGTATATGTGTACTAATATACAATTAGAGATTTGGTACAAAAACATCTGGCATTGTCAGACGAGGTATGTAAAATAACAGGCAAATATAAATCAGAATTTTACTTTACAAACACAAACTTACACAAAAACATGTAAACAAAGAAATATGTAAACAAAGGAAAATATGTAAATTAAAAGTACAGATTTAATTAAATTCTTTTCTAATATTTTGATAAATGCTTAAACAAATGTTTTACATTTGCATTTACATTATATTAGCATACACATTCAATATGTGGTGCATAATGAAATCAGAAAGATCAAAAAAGTTACATACATTACTAGTCATTAAAATTGCTACATTGTGAAGGTGACATGTAACAATGTTAGATTTGCTTGAAAGATACTTCATTCTGGGATATGCAAATGATCAGCACTTCAATGTATGCTCATAAAGCAGGTATGACTAATACCACCTAAGTGGGAAAATTACATAGGAGGTTTCTCATTTAGAAATCACTTGGAATGTTGATTGTTTGTGTGAAAGCCATGCTTTGCCTTGTGACACTGAGCTGCTCATGTTGGTCAGGATAGCATGACAGTCAGGCAAATATGGAATCAGAAGGGCCATGCTGAACACTAAGCAGGATCTCATTAGAGCAACAATGACCCTGGGCCACTACAGCCTTGCGGCATAGTACAGCCACGTCATGTATCCCAAGCCAGGAACTTGGGTGATGAAAAGTAAGATGATATTTGCAGCACCATGGACTGTTAGCATGGTCAACATTTTTGTATCTTCCTTTGATTATGCAATAGAGGCAGGCAAGTGGTGAGACATAAAATGACATTTGACACATGAGTGGTAACCCCATCGTCTTTTCAGATGAATTCTGGTTTTGCATATAGCATCATGATCTACGTATTCATAGAGGCATTGAAGAGAATGTATATTGCCAACTTGCATTCATCATCGCCATTCCAGAATCTGATGTGCTAATCGGAGATGCCATTGTGTACACATGTTGATCATCTCTTTTTCATATAGCCAGTGACATGTGCAGCCCCCATTACATTTTTTATGTGTTAATGTATTCAGCTGTGTCCTATGTTCTGTATAACACCATCTTTCAACAACATAATACATGACTGCATGTTACCCATGCTAGCCTAACCTTTCTTGATACAGCGTGTGTTCAACTGTCACACCAGCATATTCTCCAGATCTCTCACCCATTGAGAATGACATATCAATTCCTCACCTCCAACAACCGTGAACATCTGGTTATAACTTGGTGGAAAACTGGCTTGCTACCACACACGAGCTTCTATGATTGATGAATTCTGACATGCAGCTGAAGCTGTGTAGAATAAAGCACCCTTATTCAAGCTCTACCATTACCACCCTACCATTCAAGCTCAGTTCAACTTGATGTCCAGCTGAATTACAGCCATTGTTGTGTATGGATTCTGCAAATCACCAGCAAATTTAATCATATCGTTTTTCCATTATACAGTTTATGTGCAATAAAGAAGATTCTGCTACTTGCTTTCCTTCCTAGTATAACCTAGTATTCCTAGTATAATGCCCAGCAAATTAAATGTTTTACTTAAAAGAAAATTTTTGTCACAAAAATATGCACATTAATTAAAAAAAAAAAAAAATCTGTAGCACAAAATGATCTTACAACAAGGATAACACAAGGCAATAAGCATCTAATGATCTTATGCCATACCACTAATTTAACTTAAAATACCACTAATTACATAATATAAATATATACATATACATACCGTATATTTTCATACATAAGGTGGGAATTTTTTCTACAGATAAATTATGGGGATTGGCTTACATATGGATCTACTAATCTCACAAAAAATGTAGTATTTTTCCATTAACCAGGAGCAAGTGACCATTGGCAAAATTTGCACTTTTTTATTTTTTTAGTTTAGATTTCTTAAGTTTACGAAAAAAAAAAATGAAATGAAATATTCGCTTTATGAAAATAAGTTATTTTCGCAGTTGTTTATAATGTTGATTTGGTGCATCATCACCAACATGAAAGATTTGATATTCGTGAAATTTGCCCCAGCTTTCATCATTTATGAGGAAATGCTGAGTAGCCATACGGTTGTCAGAATTTTGATCAAAAACAATCACATGCAATTTGAAATTTCCATTATAATAATTTCTCCTCCTGCTCACCTTTGAGACAAAAAATAAACAGCACTAAAAAAGGGGGAAGCCAACATAGATACCACAAATTGTCTACAAACAAACAAATAAACGAAAAAAATGCGTTAGCTTTAGACAGAGTTAACTCTACTGAACTCTGTTAACTCTGAAGATAGTCAAGCTCTGTTAACTCTTACTGTTAGATAGATTTGACTCTATCTAGTTACATATTTTTTAAGCTAGCATATGCAGTGCTTAAATTGTGCCGGAGCCCAGATCCGGTACTTCTCAGTTTTTAAGATAAATTACAATTCTAGCCGGAGTGCACTGGAGCCCTGAATAAGATGAGCTCTGGTACTTCTTTTTATAAAACTGAACCACAATTTAAAGGAAAAAAATTTAGAATTCCTAATGTTTTAAGTTTAAGAAAAAGCACACCTTGCAATACTCTATTTACCTAGAAATACGAACTCATGAGAACATGAGACGTTCAAGTAAAGTCCCCTCACTCGCATGCGAAAACCTTTCCCTTTAAGATGGGCAATAAATTTGGGGGAGTTTGTTTAGGAACGCATAAATTTCTTGCCATGCCATTGTATCTAATGTATTGTTATTGATGCTTACAGTTAGTTATCCTCGCAGGAAGGAAAATTTGTGTTCTTAACCTGTTCGCAACGGGCACCTCTGTTACCGAAGCGTTCTCTTGCAACGGCGTGTTAACCGGATGTGTCATTCTGTGGGGACAGGCAATTTACGCTGCTAAGCCTAACTTTGGAAAAAAATTCCTATAAATGAAATTTGTCATCCAATTTTTCTAATTTCGAGTTCATTATGAGAAGAACATTCAGGTAGTCATTATAATTAATTTTAAGTCTTTATTATTATATTTGCCTTAAAAATTTTATAAAATACTCATTCTAGAATAATATAATTTTTCCCTTATCCCACAAATAAATATATAATGAAAAATATCCAAATAATCGCAGATTTTATTTAACACAACACAATTAAAATTAAAAAATATTAAAACTGCCATAAAACTTCAATGAGCAAACAACGAAAAGTAAGCAATGTTTCAAAATGGGACAGTGCATGATATTCTTTGAAACATGGGTGTATGCAAAGTCCAACGTTGCATTAGTCACAGGACTATAATATCTGCTGCTGTTTTACTCAGCAAAATTGACTCATTTAGCATTTGTATATGTTCTACAGTCAGATAGTGCTTTCATTTTGCCATTAAAAAGACAACACTTTCACTAAGCGATACAAAATATTCGTCTCAATGCCGAAAAACTCAAAGAGTAATAAAAAAAGTTTCTAATGATAGAACATCTACTCTACTATAACCGATAAAAATTAAAATAAAAATAAGAAAAATTAATAAATTAAATTAAAAATATTCCAGAGCATCAAGAACATGTTCATTTGTTTATATAAAATGACACAGTAAGAGCCATGTGTTAAGTGTGCATAAATGTGCGTTAAGTGACAGCAAGTACAATAAGAGTGAAATACTGAGATAAACTGCTCAAGCACGTCCTATATACATCATCTTCCCACAGTATCCACAAATGGGGGGGGGACATAACCAGCAACTTTGCATTCATCCTTAGAAGTCGGATTCAGAACTCATTTTACCCCTGACACACATCTGCTTGATGGCTATAATTATATCAGCAAAAAGCCATGGTCAAAGAGAATGTTCTCTCTCACCAAGATTCCCCTCATTTCTTGTTTCCACCCACTCATACCCTCATTCTGTTTAGCCCTGGAATTTTCACCAGCTATACTTGAAGTATATTTAATTTTTATGGTGATAAAAGAACTTCCCTCCCCCCTAGGATCAGAGCTTAAATTGGACCGGAGCCCACCGGATATCGGCTCCGGTGCTTCTGCTCTTATAATAAATCATAATTCTAGCCAGAACACACTGGAGCCCTGAATAAAAAGGCTGCGGCACTTCTTTTATGTAACTGAATAACAATTTCAGTGCAAATTTTTATCTTGAAAATTTTATTTTAACAATAAAATTATATTAAAAAATCTCTTATTAAATTTCAATTTATCTCTTTACATTTTATTTAATTTTAATTATTTAATTATTTATTTCAATAAATAATCAATTATCTAAACCATTATCAATTAAATTATAAGTAATTAATTATATAATAAAAAATAATTAATAATTTATAAATATTAATTAAATAGCTATTAATTAATTTGTAATAATTAACTATTTTTAAAATTACTAATTAGTTTAATAGTAATTTTATTTATTTATTTACTCTTGTTCCTCTTTGCTGACGGTCTTTCATAGGGCTCCGGCACTTCTAATCTTAGAAATTAAGCCCTGAGCATAATCCCCTTGGGCATTTGGCGTTTTACTTTACAGTAATTAGATTAGAAAATATTCGATACATTTTACCTACTTTGCATCATTTTCATCCACATGGTGACATGTTTAAAGGTTACATAATTTTTCTTTTTCGTTTTCATTCATTTCAACTTGTATACAGGTTTTGAATTTTAGGCAAATTTTTGAAGAAAAGAAAGCACTTTCAGCTTATAAAAGAATCATATTATTTTTGAAAATATAGAGCATATACAAAGTCGAAAAATAGCTGACCTAAATACATTTAAAAACTTACCTCTGCAGGAGAGTACATTTACATGGAATATTATGAATTTAACAGACATACATGTATTTCATGTGAAATTTCAAAATAACATTAACAGTAGCAGCCAGGATAATAATATTTGAAACTGAAAAAAAAAGTGTCAGTTTATTTACCCTAATATCACTCCAAAAATTCCAAGCTCAGAAACAACATTTGATACTTCTGCAGTTCTGTCTCTTAGTACAAGGCAATTAGGAGAGCTAGGTGGATTTATTAGCTCCATTAAAATGTACGCATTTCGTTGACAACTGGTTCTGATTTGCTTCAAACGATTTTTTAAATCATCACCATATATATTATTGCCTAAAAATTATTAAGAACATGAAAATTTGTTAAATTACAATTTTAACAATATTTCATAAAAAATTCAATACACTGGAATTCAATACATAGGGAAAAGAAAACTAATTTTTAAAAAACTAAAAATAATAAATTATAAAGGCCAATTAAAAACAAAACGCATAATAAGATATTGCAATAGCATTATCTTCCAGTTAAAACAAATAATAGATAGTGTTAGAGTCCAATAAATTAGATTTTGCTATGGTACATAAAAATAGTGAAATCTTTGAATTATGAGAGATTTATTTACACAGATGATATATTAATCATAACTTTTGCTCCAAAATAAATTTAATGACAGAAATTCTTACACAGAAGATTTTTCAAGTTAATAAGTAAAGTTTGTTCATATATGAAAATACAGCAAGACCTCGCATAGTCCAGCTGATCAGTTCGATTAATACCCCAAACTGCCCATATCCCAAATATTACCACCGTTTTTATAATAATGATGTCAGTTCCTGTACTAAAACTCTTAAACGGGAGCAAAACTCAATTGTTCAGACAGAAAACATGGCTTTAAATTCATATTATAATTTATTATGGGCGTAAAAAATTATAAATATTTATGTTTTAAAACTGTGGATGTTCCTTCTTATATGTATAATTTTAAAACTTTTTGCATTACTAATGAGTTTAATAGTAATAACAACATTTAACATAGCATAACAACATTTGCATTGGTGTCCACCACAGTCAACATGGAGCAGCATCTAACTAATCTATGATTCATTATGTAAAATCTAATACTTATAGATATGCTTCCATTGTAATATTGTTCCAATGTATATTACGATATAAGCATGATACATCTTGAATCATACTTGTATTTTCTAAGACAAAATATTAAAATACTCATATTTCATAAAAATGCATTAAAAAATTTTAAATACCTCCCCCTTCCCTTTCTGGTTTCAACACAAATCTTTCAGGATTTCCAAGACCCAATACAATAGCATCATCTCCACCTTCAGCCTTAGAAAGGAATGTGGGAGAAAATAATCTTTTTTAATAAAATATAAATACATATGTTGCAAATAATAAAACAAAATTTTCAAAGCATCATGAAAACATTATCTAGTCTGAAATGAACTTCTATGCTAAAACTGACTATGCAAATGATTAAAAATTCAAGACCAGTTGTTTTACAGTAGTTCTCTACAATACATGGAAAATAGTTTTGAAGATATTATATCAGAGGGAAACTGTGACAACATACTGTACAAACTTCTGCAGATTGTAAGAGTTTGACATTAGATTTGAGCATAATAAACACATGGGCAAGGTAGGCAGAAGCTGAATCACTAGAAAAAAGGCATTTCTTCAGTTGAGATTCTGCCCAGCAGTGGAATAGAAATCCTATGGCAGGGTTTCTATAAGTGGCTTGTGAAAAGCACAGCTTAACAACATTCATTGAACAAAGAGAGAAATGACAGTAAGCCAGACAGAACACCTGTAAAATCTGCATGAACAGCATTGATCACATTGCTTTCCACCACATGCCCCTGGTATAAGTATCTTATTTTGAAACATTAGAATGCAAGCAAAACACCAGTACATTCCAAAAGGCCACTCCATCCCCCCACAAATGGAAGTGAATATCACAAGCATTATTTGCATTGGTGTCCACCACAGTCAACATGGAGCAGCATCTAACTAATCTATGATTCATTGTGGTTATCAATATACCTGGAGAAAGGCTGGCCAACACATAAAATTTTCCTTTATTTGGAATGCCTGTTACTTTCTACTGAAGGGATTGGAATATCTAAAACAGTTATCTCAAACCCAATTTTCATGTGGGCTGAATACTTGATTAAAAATACTTAAATGAAAAAATAAAAATAAAATCAAGTTTTCAGTAAGTATTAAAAATACTTACTGAATACTTGATTTAAAAGCAGTTGCTGGGCTAGAACAATTTTTTAACAAAACTCAAAAACATTTTTAACAATGAATTAATAAATAAATAAATAAATAAAAATTAAACTTATATTAAACAGAATAAACATTAAATTTCACTTACTGAATATTTATCAAAACACACATAATCTATAATAATACTAATACAGTACAAAGACCGTAATCCGGACTCGTCAGGACTTCGATTCCGGATTAAGGGTTTTTCCGGATTATAGATCATCAATTTAAATCTGGTAAGATGGCGTGCAGAAATTATACAATTAAAAATATGAAACCGTAATTTATGAAATAAAGAGCAATTATGATCTGGTATCAAAATTTACAAAAAAAGTTTAATATTTATTTGTTTCCTTTATTAAACAAAGTAAGTTGTTCAAGTTGCTTCGTTTTTTTGTGCTAAACGCGCATGTGTAAACATTAGATGTGCATGCATAACATTAGATGCGCATGCGTAACATTAGACGTGCATGCGTAAAGCATACCAAAATAAAAAGTTTGTGGCTTTGAGGTCTGGATTATAGACCATTCCGAATAATGGACGTCCGGATTTCAGACTTTGTACTGTAGAAAGGAAAAAAAAATCAAATTTATATTTACCGTATTTGCTGGCATATAAGACACACTTTTTTCTATGAAAATAGGTCTGAAAAATGGGGTGCATCTTACACATCGGTAGTCAGTTTTTGATTACATTCATTTCTGGAAACTTCCTCTATTCAGAGTTATGTGATTTCTTTTTTTTTTTTCTTGTTTTCATGCAGAGTGTGGGAATACAGTTACATACAGTTCAGTAAATGTGATGTCATTGATGATCACAGCTGGGTTCGTTTAAACTTTCCAGTTTTTATGAACGACTTTTAAGTGTGTGAAATGTCAAGTGCTTATCATTTAGCTCTGGAGATGAGTGTCTGGATTTTGACGAAGAAGATTAAAAGGTGTTCTTTCGCAGATAGGTATAGATGGGTATTTGCAGAAAGGATTACTTTGTATTTGTATAACTTTATATTTAAAAAATGTATAAAAAAGAGGGTGCATCTTATATGCTGGCAAATATGATATTTTCCATCAGAAATTTAAAAGAAAGCAAATTTCTATTGGTTATATTTTGTAATTCAAATGCTCTGACAGCTAGATATTAAATTTTAGACTGAAATTTATTTCAGAAATTCCAGCATGTTGAATTATTCATTAAATAAATTACTGTTAACCTAAACTGGAAATTTCAGATTATTGAAGTGCCCCCAGCTGTCAACTATCAAACTAAGTCTACTTATAAGGTATTTCTACCACCTTCTTGGCGTGCCTTCGTGGTGTGGTGATCTGCACACTGGGCACATATTCCAGAGGTCTCTGGTTCAATTCCTGGTGAAGGTGTTGCATATTTTTCATCTTGCCTGCTTCCAAAAAAATACCTAATGTCTCTACACTGGTGCCCGAACTAAAAGGGTGTTGGATGATGATTCTCCTCACCTAGGATTTGGCAAATGGAACTCTGAAAAACCCCAGTCGCCCTTTAAAAGGGAGAGTATATAAGGTATTTTCCCAGCCTTCTTGGTGTGGTGCTTTGCACTTTGGGCACATATTCCAGAGGTTTGGGGTTTGATTCCCGGCGAAGGCATTGCATATTTTTCATCTTGTCTTCTTCCAAAAAGTACCTAATGTCTCTACATACTGACTGTACCAATGTGAGAAATTCTCCTACACTACCATAGCCACGAGGCCTGATTTACAAGCATACAGCATGCCAAACAGTACATCCATACAGAACGGCCCAGAGATGGCATGGATGCTTGCAAGTGTATGGTGTCTGTGTGGCAAGAGAGCATTCAAAATACAAGATAAGCCAAAAGTCCTCTTGAGAGGCTGATGTAGGGGAAGAGGAATGGGACTTCGGCTTAGCTATTCTTTCTCAAAAGTGGGGGAGGAAGCTTAATAGTTAGCTAAATACAGAAAAATGTCAATCACCAGTGATACTACAGAGGTGCTGGCCTAGCTTCTACCTTTACTTGTAGAAGCATACAGCTCCCAAAACAGTATAATGGTTCATGACACTGACTGCCACATCGGAAGGTCTGGGTTCCAGTTACGGAGAGGGTATAGTTGCTTCTACGCACATAGTGTCTGTGTGGCAAAAGGGCATTAAAAATATGTGGTGAGCCAAAATTCTCCCAAGAGTTTGGTGGTAAGAATAAAGAAGTGGGAGACCCTCAGACCATCACCCCGTCAGGCATTCTCCCAGGGAATTCAATCTGGGGTAGAAGTTTAGCAGTTATCAAGGCCCATCAATACTTAATATGCCTAGATGGATACACGAGTGTGAACCTTGCTTCAAACTGTACCTGTAAAATAGGGTAGGCTGAAAAAATACTTTTTTAAATTTTTCTGTCGCTATACCCTGGAAAAGTTGCATATTGCCTAGCTATGCAAAATTTAAAAAGAAAAAAATATATGAAATTATATTTTCTGTTTCCATGATGCACTCAGAATTTTGAAAAACAGTGAAATTTTGCTGTTTTTCTTCAATTTTTTATAATTATTACATCTTGGATAAGCTTACTACTATTGAAATCCAGTTGTTCCTAATGTGAACTTTGGAGTATGAAGAACAAGAAAAATGTTTAAAATATACCCTTTTAAATTATTTATTGTTTGTGCAAAATGCTCAAAAACACAATCTTCTGTAAAAACAGCAATATTTCATAATTTTACTTTTTTCAAATTTAGTAGTAAGCAAACGGTAAATATATTTATCATTTTTAATTTTGTTCTTCAAAACTGAGTACCTAAAATTACTTTTTTGGGAAAATGGCCACATAATACATCTTCATAAGAGGGTTGTCCTAATCAAGCTACCTCTTGTGTCAGCAGCGCACACATTTTTAGATGCTTCAGTCACAAGTTTGACACACCATTCTACAGCCTGGTGTGACAAGGGAAGCTTTGTAAAAATCCAGTTGCAGTGACATGCCAGTCTTTAATAGAATTTTTATTTCCTTAATAGTATAAAGCAGAGTATTGCAACTAAAACGCCAAATCGTGTTAACATGGTCTGTTGCTTCAAAGTTAAGATTTGGCATGATGAAGTTTCAAATGGTTGTTTCCTTGGAAAGTGATAGTTTTCAAAAATCAGAGCAGCCCCAGTTCTCTGATATGTCATCTTTCATCCACAGTCATCAGTCACAAGATCAAATTTTCAGAATGAGCCACAAGACTTCATTCACAAAATCAAATTTTCAGAATGAGCAAAGAAAGTTCTGTTGAATCACTGGGTTGATGATATGCAGTAAATATTAAGTTAGGTATCATGGTGTAGTGATAACTTCAAAAAAAACTTTCAGTAGTTCAGACAGATAGACAGTTATAATAATAAATTGCTTGAAAATTATATATTTCTTATTCATGGATGCTTGCAAGTGTATGGTGTCTGTGTGGCAAGAGAGCATTCAAAATACAAGATAAGCCAAAAGTCCTCTTGAGAGGCTGATGTAGGGGAAGAGGAATGGGACTTCGGCTTAAGCTATTCTTTCTCAAAAGTGAGGGAGGAAGCTTAATAGTTAGCTATAGCATCATAATTTTAATGAAAAATTTAGAAATTGTGTATATATGTAAATGCAATACATTATTTCCCATAAAAGATTCACTGATGATTACAAATGCCGTTAATTTGCAAGAAGACTGCATTAAAGCTTATGTTTCATTGATTAGAATGGAATACTTTTGCTATTAATATTAATTATGATTAATAACTTAGTATTATAATAGCAGTTGAAATATCAGTTATCAACTTCAATGCACATAAGCATTAACTCATCTCAGCATCTAAGAGCTCATGTCATTTTGAAAGCTTAATACTCCAAAAATATTTCCCAGAAACTGTCCATGTTTATAGCCATTCAACTGTAAAAGATATACACATCATAAAATGTTATTCATCATGATAGCCCAACTACTGATTGGAAAAACTTACTGAAGCACGTGAATTATGAAATTAATTTCACACAATAATTGACTGCTGTGGCTGTTCAATAAGCTCTCTTTAGAAAAAGCAAAAT